GTGACTTTTGAAATCTGAAATTGCTATCATTGAAATTCGTGCTAGATCACTGATTGATTGAACCAGACTCAGTAGGGTAAACAGTTCGCTTATAAAAATAGGGAATTTTTTTTATTTTTGTGATTAATTTGTCCTTTATGTTGTCCATTTTTTCCAATTAGGGGTTTCTTATTTTTGAATAAATTTTTGTGAAACAGATTAGAGTATTTTCTTTTCTTGGCTTTATTACTGAGACACTTGCGCAGATATACAGAGATAAATATTTATCTTAAATGTTGAAACTGTATCCTGTACACTAACTTTTATAACTTGAATAAATCTATTTTGCCATAAGATATTGATTAAGACTTTGAAGAGGAAAAATCTCTAATAATAGGATTTAGGATAAATATTTATTATCACCAGAAATCTGTTTTGCTAAAAACTAATGTTTATTTAGAAATCATAAAAATAAAAAAAGACATCACTTATAAACAGATTTCAATGATACTAGTACAGTTTTAAATCTGAGATGTATAAATGGAAAAAAAAAAAGAAAAAAAGTAAATGGAAAAAAAAAAAAAAAAAGTAAAGAACCATGATAAATTTGACCCTGTATTTATATTATAAACAGAACCTCACCCCTAAAACAAAAAAAATATTTTTCAATTCTGACAAATGTTTAGAGGGAGATATAATGAATGCTAATCAAAAAAAAAAATTAATCAGAAAATATCTTCAATTTTTTTTTTTTTTGATTTTCCCTCAGTTGTGACTGAACCAGATTAATGATTGATGATAGTCAAATTGTACAAACTGGGCCAATCCATTTCTAACAATGCTAGAAACACAAAGTTCAATGATAATAGTAATATTAACAATTTCCTTACAAGGAAACATTTGGCATTCATTGACCAAGCAGCCAGTACTGTTTTCAGTTGGAATTTATAAAATCTTTCTCTTAAAACACTTTTTTTTTTTTTTTTAGGAAAAAAAAGTTTCTCAAGTAGTTTTTATTGCTCTTTCTAGTATAGATATTAGACAGGGTCCTTCCTAACCTTTTATTTGAAGTGGTGTGGAATGTGAACACCTTGATTATGTTATTGTTTTCTCTTTGGGTTACATGCAATATCCATTTTAGTTGTTGCTGTTGTTGAAAGTTCTCAAAGGATGTGGTTTATGTTATTTGGTACAGTTCACAATATTCAAAGAAGGAAGATCTTTTCCAAGACCCTCAATCAAGAAAATTCCAAAGAGGCCTAAGGAATAGGATTTCCCATGAATGATGGGAACTTCTATTCAGCAATATATTAAAATCTATATTCATTTTACCAAAGCAGCTGATTATTTCCTTTATATAATGATCATTAAATACCAAGATGGAAACTCAACCTTCCTTCTGTGCTGATTTTTATTTTTTAAAAATTCCTTATTGTTTGCCGCTTTAATTTTTTTTTTAATGGACACCAGGAAATTAGGCAAAAATCTTTGCTTTATTTGATTTTTTTTTTTACAATGTTAATTCTGTACAAGGACCGAGAGCCACTTCAGATAGAGAGTTACAGAGTAGGAGGCACAGTTTATGCAGTGTTGTAATGGAATGTCCCACACTCCCTATCGCATATGTGGACTGACTATATTGGTAGATATATATAGTGTGCACAGGACATACCTGGTGGACTTGCTTCAAAAGTACTAGCCTGCTAACAGATTCCTTGTCTTTTAGTAGTGTATTCTTTTTTACGAGTAATGGATAGCGGCTCAGATTGAGGAATTGAAAAGCAGAGTTTGAATTCCAGTCAAATCTATTACATTCACTTATGTGCTAATACCCTTGGGAAAGGTATGAATCCTCTTCTCCCCCCCCCCCAGCCATGTGGAAATAGCAGGACAGACCAGGGTGTATGGCCTTGGATGGCAACTGGTCTACTGCAGAAATAAATGGTAACCTACTGCGGGGAAAAATCTGCTTTGTCAGTCAAGTATTGAAAGATACATGATCGTCTAAGTGTGTATCACACATGGCACATAACTGACTAACTGATTCTCTTTTACAATAGAACTTTTCATCTACACCATGTTGCTGTTCCTTTCACTCGAGTACCACCTTTGTCTGTTTGTAAACTTCTTCGAGGACAGAACATGCAGATATGTGGGGGAACACAATGATTAACCCTATACTTGAACAGATTAAGATTGTAGTAATCAGGGAAGCACCCTCTTGGGAGCTGGTTCTACAAAGCAGTGGTTTATGGGAAGAAGCATGTCTTAATTGCGAAGGTTAGAACTAAGGAATGTAATTTGTCTGAATACTTTCCATGGAATTAATGATAGAGCAGAGAGAGTGAGAGGTTTGTGATGCTTCATTTGTGAGAAAGGGGTTGTAGGGTGAAAAATAATTTGTCACCCACAAGGACATGGAGATGTTTTTGGACAACTGAAACTGGAAAGTAAAGAGTAGTCAGCTCCTGCCCATATAGGGCAATAGTACTCCATTCGGCAATACACAGAATTACTGATGGGCCTGAAATTCTAAAAACCGAAGGCGAAGTGACACTGGTGAAATTGCACAGAACAAGGTAGCAGGGCCAGACGGAATTGTAACAGAGATTCTGAGAGCCTTAGATGATTTTGGCATTGACAAGATTACTGAAATAATAGATGAAATCTACAACAGTGGGGATATATTGGAAGCTCTACACAGATCTAGTTTTATAGCACTGCCTAAGAAACCAGCTGCAAATGAATGTAAACTCCATCAAACAATCAACCTAATGAACCATATAACAAAACTCATCTGTATTCTGATGAATAGAGCATGCAGCAGAATCAGGCCAGAAATAGGACAAAAACAGTGTGGGTTTGTTAAAGACATCAAAAGAAGGAACGCAATATTCATGCTCAGAAGGTTATCAGAAAGAGCAATACACATGCAGAAGAATGTGTACCTGTCTTTTATAGACTATGCAAAGGCGTTCGACAAAGTACCCTACAAAGATCTGTTAGAGCTGCTCAGCAACCTTAACATATTTGGGAAAGACATTAGAATAGTCAAAAACCTCTACTGGCAGCAAACCACCAGCATAAAGTTAAAAAATAAGTTCAGCAGATATTCAAAAAAGAGAAAGGGTCATAAGGCAAGGATGTGTCTTCTCACCGGACTTATTCAACGTATACAGCAAGGCAATTCTGAGAAAACTGGAATACGTACCAGGATTTATCATTGGTAGCCAAAATCTTAACAATATAAGATGCGCAGATAACAGTGCTGATAGCAGACACAGAAAGGAAACTATAAAAAGACAATGTATGGTCATCAGCAAAAAGATGAGCCCGAAATTCAATTTACAGGTTGGGAACACTAAAATCAAGCAGGTGCAGAAATTTATATATCTAGAAAGTATTCTGACAGAGGACAATAAGTGTGATGCTGGGATTTGAAGATGTATTGGGAAGGCCAAAGATGCATTCTAAAAGCTAGGCAGAGAATTATGAGACAGGAGGGTTTTATTGGTAACAAAGAAAAGAAGATTGAACTGCTATGTGATATCTGTTCTCCTTTGTGGCAGTGAATGCTGGACAATCTCCTCAAAGATGAAGAGACTTAAGGCAATGGAGGTATAGTTCTACAGAAGGATGCTAAGGATACCATGGACCAAACATATGAGCAACGATGAGGTTTTAGAGAAGATGCAAACAAAGAGGAAACTTATACCTAACATCAAGAAGAGGCAGCTGAAATTTCTGGCACATGTAATGAGAAAGGAAGATTTGGAAAATCTGATACTCACAGGGTGTATAGAGGGAAAGAGGGACAAAGCAACACATGACATACTTAACAGGCTTAAGTGAATGGCAGAACAGGGTCTAAGAGAAATAACAAAAGGACAAAATTTATTGAGAGCTACAAGGGACAGGAAGAAATGGAGAGCCATCCTACATCCTGAAGGGACATGACACATAAAAGATGACTCCATTTTTGGCCTGATCTGGCTCTTGTAAGGGTAGAAGATAGAAGTCAGTTACTTACTGGAGTGATACAGTGAACTGTGGATTTTTCCAGCATCTTTAGTGATAGATCATATGTACAAGTTCCATTTGAGGTCTGGGGTGAGTTTAACTTCCAATAGATGCACAAGACATGAGAAGAACATCTGTTCATTGTGTTAGCTCTGGGTTCAGTCAGCAATGATGGAATATCTCTAGTTTGATTTTTGAGGCACTGAATGTGAGCAACCAGTTTTTTTTTTTTTTTTTAACACTGAGCTGTTAGAGCAAGGTCAAAGGATATCTGTTGCCAATCTTTGGTCATCTAAACTTTTGGAAGGGCAACCATATACTGTTGTATCATCAGCATAGATATTCACAAATGATCGGTGTATACTCTTAGGTAAATGATTCATGGAAAATAGAAAGAGAGATGGACTGAGAATCGAACCCTGAGGGTTGCCTGTGTTGATCGCTAGGGCCTTAGGGAACTGGCTGTCAACAACTAAATTCAGTAGGAAAGACTTTATAATTTAGAAAACTCTTCCAGTGATTCCATAGCTAGAGAGCTTGTGCAGTAAACTTTTATACCACACCTTGTCAAAAGCCTTTGGAATATCTAATGCAATCATCCTTGAGATGTATTTGTTGTCTAGTGCTCACTGATTCTGTGAGCAATGGCTGTTGGGGATATCAGCAGTGGATTGAACTAATCAAAACCCATACTGCTTGTAGCTCAAGATGGTGTTTCTATTGAGATGATCAACAACATTCTTGCTGTTTATAGATTCAAAAAGTTTGCTAAAGACACCAAGAAGACTGATGCATCTATACTGAGAGGGGGGGATGAGTGCTCACCCATGTTCTTGAAAACTGGGCATACACTGGACACCTCCTACAGACTTTGGAAGGATGACTTCTTCATGCAGCAGTATTTCCAGAAGAACTGGAGTAACAAGCAAATTAAAAAACAAATGGTAACTGAATTTCCATGAATTTGGTTAATAAGCAGGAAAATTTCAAATAACACTTACCACACTATCAGAGTGACATTTAAGCAGATGACATATGAGTACATTTCCGGGATCACGAGCAGTAAATCCAAATATTTCCTGGTTTTTATGACCCTGAAAAACAAAAAGTCATAGAAAAATGAAATGGAAAAAAATTCTGATAAAGATAGAAAAAACTGTCTATATTTCTGAGATGAGGTATTATGTACATTTACATTATTTGGACTATTGTCCTCATCTTGAGGACAATAGTTCAAATAATGTAAATAATATAGAAAAACCTGTATTAGTAGTCATTAAAACAGTTCAAGATTTTTAAAAGATTTGATCTTCAAGATTTGTTGCTAGAATTTGATATTTTCTCCAGGACCTTGCAGTGAATTATTCAGCTAATTCATCTGATGAAAAAGTAAACTAGTCTCTACAACAATTTTTTATTTTTATTTTTCAAACCATGTCTTCTTGCTTTCTTAAAAATATTCCTGAAATTCATCATTTGGCTCAAACATCTTATTTAGAAATCTTCCTTTTCTCAGCCGTTGGAGTCCCGTAATTATCAAAAAATTTGTGTTCTTTGTCCAGATTATCATTTTTTTTTTTTTTTTCTTTTTACAGTGTTTTAATAATTCTGGAGTTAACTTGTTTTTGCTTAATAAAGTTAACCATTTTTGAAGCTTCAAAAAGTTTCTAGATTAATTTTTAAGACATTGTAAAGTTAAGAAAACCAGAGTTGATATTGGCATTTTTTTTGTTCTACAAGAAAAATAAAAGTAAATCTCTTATGGGGCCAACCATTTATGTGGTTATCAGTACAGATATCAACCTAGTTTTTCTAGGAAAGATCTCTTGTTTCCAGAATGAGCCAAAAATATTAAATACCTCTATTCATTTGTCTCTGACAATTAAGTTTCTTCCTCATTGACAAATCTTACAAAAGCTGCAATGTGACATTTATCAATAAGATCTATTGACTCCTCAACCTGGATAAAAAAAAAAAAAAAAAGCCCAAAATATTTCTAATTTTAAGTTTATTGCACAAAACCTCTTTAGTGTCATGTGACATGCCATTGATACATTGACAGATTGTACTGCAGGAAATTGAGATATTCTCAATTTGTTCCAGTACTTTACTCAATATAATTTTACGCACTAACATTAATAGGCTTCTAATAACTTTGGGACTTTTACTTTTCTGTGCAATAATTTCTGCAATAACAAAAATCTTTCTTCTGGTAACTTTCACTGACATTGACTTTCCTTACAAAAGCTGTACTTCTTTTTAATCATTTCACCCCAAGCAAAGCAATAAAGCCACTAAGATGCAAGGGTTACTGAGAATGTAAGACAACAGAGTGAAGGAAAGTTAGAAAATATTACTGTGGAGAAAAGGCAATAAAAAGAACAGGATTCAAGGAGACAGAAGATGACAACTGATGTTGTATGATTTTGATTGTTTAGTGGCATATTTTATGATGATAAAGATTTAGTGATACAAGTTTTACTAATTAACCTATAGCTGGAGGGAGAAGAGGTGGATTATTACCTTTCCCAAAGGCATTTGTGTGTAAGTGAATATAACAAACCCAACTGGAATTAGAACTCGACTCTCTGATTAACAATTACAAGCCATTATCCATTACATCACCCACACATTCAAACTTACAGCACCTGGTATTACCAAGCAATCACCCATCAAGATAGACTTGATGTTGCTTAACTTTGATGATCGTAAGGGAACAGGTGTTTTAATGTGATGTGGCCGCAAGGTGCATGAATTTGAGATTCCAATAATCTTTTAAAATAACTTGCATTTATTTTTCATATGACTGATTTGTTTTGAAGTGCATTTTCGGTTTTGCTGGAGCCATTACTGTATTTGAAAATTGTCACAAACCAATTATAATGGAATCAGACAAGCTGGATCACCAGTCCATATAAAACCCATTGATAAATAAATTTTGAAAGAAAGAAAAGAGGAAAGGAAAAGAAAGAAAGAAAAAAAAAAAAAAGGAAGGAAGAAAGAAAAGAAAAGAAAAAAAGAAAAGAAAAGAAAGAAAAGAAAGGAGGAAAGAAAAGAAAGGAGGAAAGAAAGAAAGGAGGAAAGAAAGAAAGGAGGAAAGAAAGAAAGGAGGAAAGAAAGAAAGGAGGAAAGAAAATTTGTTTAATTTTTTTCTGGATATTTCCTGTTCAAAAATCACATTATTGGATTTGAATGCTGAGAGATAATACCTATAAAATAATCAGTAATTAAGATTAAATTTTATTAATGATTTTTCACCCCAACACTCATTTCCTGTTGCTATATTTTTATGGGAATGCTACTACAAGATTGTCACCTTGAAAACAGATTTTAGAGATAGATCCACAAAAAGGTGCCAAATATCAATCATAATAAAGTTGACTACTGAGATCCAAAGGTGCATTGGGATAGTAAAAGATGCCTTGCAAAACCTAAGCAAAGTATTAAGAAACAGGAAAATTTCATTAGAAACAAAGAAAAGAGTACTGAACAATTACATAACACCAGTCCTCCCATATCGCAATGAATGCTGGACACTCTTCTCGCAGATGAAGACTTGAAGCAACAGAAATGAGATGCTGGGAATAACATGAACTGGGCATGTGAGCAATGACAGTTTTAGAGAAAATGCAAACTAAAAGAACACTTATACTTCAAATCATAAAGAGATAGTTAACATTTCTAGGGCACATAATGAGGAAAGAGGGCTTGACAAATTTGATACTCACAGGACATAATGAAGGCAAGAGGGACAAAGGAAAGCAAAGCATAACCTACCTAACAAACTTGTGTAAATGGATGGCAGAACAGGGTTTAGGAGAGATAAGAAAAATACAAAATTTATTAAGAGCTACAAAGGACAGGTAATGGTGGAGAGACATGTTCTGAAGGAACATGGCCCATAGAATTACTTTATTTGGAAGTTTATAGCAGCAGCAAACCCCTATGTTGACACAGAGACCGAGATAAGAAATCCATATTGACTGCAATATTCTTTCCAGTTAATTTGAAAACTTATGTCAAGAGAAAATAAACATGCATGCGTTGTCAGAGCTGTCAGATACTTTTTAGATAAATATTTTTTTAATGCCATGTCCCTTCAGGACTTGAGTAACCATGTGAACCCCATTCCCATGCATTCTTGAGAAAGTGATTTTTGTTGTTGCCTTCACAGAATTCAGAATTTTCTTTCTCTTAGAATGGTTCCATACAAACCTCAAGAACACAGCATACCAAGCTATTTAAACCATAGCTGGAGAGAGAATAGATGATTCATGCCTTTTCCAAGAGCATTTATGTGAAAGTGAATGAGACAGACTGGGCTGGAATTTGAACTTGGCTTGCTGAATCCACTTTCATCCCCAATGTCCTAAATAAAATTAGTGAGAACAAAACCAAAACGAAGCAAAAATTAAGCAGCATGTAGTCCCAAATAATATTTAATTTGAAATATACTAGCTTAAAAGCTGCCCTATTGGGTGCGATTCAAATGCTGAAAACAATCGCAGTAATGAAAACTTAGGGAAACAAAATTTCAGGATTGCAGGTCTGGATCGGACCTGGAATGTTTTTAATTTACTCACAGAGTTGGCCTGATTCCAAAATGTGATATGTTGGGCTATGGCCTCTTGGAGAAAAGTTGAAAAAGTGTGACACAGTGACACACTGATATCCACATTTATTATATAGATTTCATAAACAGGAGATTATGCAACAAACATGAGACTGTATCAACCTTGATCTACTCATTTAATAGACTAATCAGTGCGAGTTTAAACCTTTAGTATTCAACACACACAAATCCACCTTGTAATTATTGACTCACAAAGTCTCAGAGTTTGTGGTCAAAATCTCCCTATTCCTGTAACTTCCTGCATTATTTGTGATGTCGCCGTCATATATTATGACATAGTAAACATGGGGAGAGTTACAGTGGGTTGAACATTGAGAGCCAGTATTTTGGGTGGGTTGAACGCTAAAGCGTTTAGAAAGGTTCTAAGTCAGATCATGTGATGCATGTCTTTGAACTTGAAGATGCATCAGGTTAGTCTAATGTAAATAGCACAAACTCAAATGAGAAGAGTGATTTTTGTTTCAACAAATCCTATAGTCCTGGGTATGACAATAAACTACAACCAGTAGGAAGGCCTCAAATTGGAAGTTTTGAGAAGCATGGAACCATCTTCTAATTGTTGTTGCTCCCAAACAAAAGCAAGACACTATGAAAGTACAAAAATACATTTTTATAGTAAATATACTAGCAAAACATTTTTATATAAAAAATTAGCAACAATACGTATAGCAAAATTACCAACAATACATATTTATAGTAAAATGACCAACAATGAATTTTTAAAGCAAAATGACCAACAATGTTTTATCTACAGATATGTTGAAGCCATAAAATTGTGTTCAAAATATATTTAGTTGAAGCCATAAAATTGTGTTCAAGATATTTAGATTTCAATATTAAATAGCACATAGAAATTGATATGCCACTAAACAAAATCAACCAACCAACTAAATCCTACTTACCACTTCTTGGCCCAACACTCAGGGTATTTACTGAAAGGTTATCCAAGACTTAAGATTAGGTTAAGAATAGAAAACAAGATACAAATTTAACAGGTGTAATTTGAATGCATTGCAGATTTCCTTGTAGCATCATCAAATAGAATTATATTAATGGATTTTTAGTTTGTTTAGGATTTTAAAGAAAGATTATTTACATTCAAACTAATATCCTCATCTTTTTTTTTTTTATTATTATTATTTTGGCTGTTGTACCCGCTAGTCTTCAGGTGCCTGTCAGGGAAACTTCAGGGAATTTCAAACTGGATCCTAATTAACCTATGGGAGTAGATTGTTATCATTTGGTTGTCCATATTTCAGGATATCTTGTCTTGTCCTTAATTAGCATTTCCACTGACTCATTTAACCATTGAACTCACAATTACTATGTCATGAACTAACACATTAACCCACTAGGCTATTGTCTCATGGGAGAATTCTGAACGTAGATCTTAAACCTAATGTCCTTTTTCCTGTCTGCTGCTTCTCTTCTTACTGCTGTTGCAGCCAAAGCATTGCTGTC